TATTATCTTTTTTGTTTCTAATATTTCAGTTTGGTTCTTCTTTGTCTCTGTCACATTTCAGAGACTTTTATTTTAAGAGAGAGAGGGAAAGCACTGAGTGTGCAAGTGGGGAATGGGCAGAGGGAGAGGGAGAATCTCAATCAGGCTCCACACCCAGCACAAAGCCTGATGTAGGGCTTGATCCCATGACCATGAGATCATGAGCTGAACTGAAACCAAGAGTTAGATGCTTAACCAACTGAGCTACCCAGGTGCCCCTACATTTCTGAGATTTTTAAAATTTATTTAAAGATTTTGTATTTTTTGTCACTTGTTTCCAGAATTTTTGCATTTGCTGTCAAAGCATTTTTATCATGGCTACTTGGAAATACCTGATAATAATTCTAACATCTCTTTCACCTTGGTGTTGTCACCTGTTGATTGTGTTTTTTCATTAAGTGTGAGACTTTCCCAGTTCTTGGTATTATGATTTTTTAAAAATTTTTTAATGTTTATTTATTTTTGAGAGAGAGAGAGAGAAGACAGAGTGCAAGGCAAGGAGGGGCAGAGAGACAGGGAAACACAGAATCAGAAGCAGGCTCCAGGCTCTGAGCTTTCAGCACAGAGCCTGATGCGGGGCTAGAACCCACGAACTCATGGGATGTAGAATTGAGAAGGAACTTCAGGTCAGATCATGACCTGAGCTGAAGTCAGACACTTAATGACTGAACCACCCAGACACCCCTGAACAAATGTACATGTTTTAATATAAAATGAAATATTAGAATTTAAGGGTAACTACCTTAAATCATTCGTTTGTTTTTTCAACATAATACTTAATTTTATTTTATTTTTTAATTTACATCCAAATTAGTTAGCATATAGTGCAACAATGATTTCAGGAGTAGATTCCTTAATGCCCTTTACCCATTTAGCCCATCCCCCCTCCTATAACCCCTCCAGTAACCCTCAGTTTGTTCTCCATATTTATGAGTCTCTTCTGTTTTGTCCCCCTCCCTGTTTTTATATTATTTTTATTTCCCTTCCCTTATGTTCATCTGTTTTGTCTCTTAAAGCCCTCATATGAGAGAAGTCATATGATTTTTGTCTTTCTCTGACTGACTAATTTCACTTAGCATAATACCCTCCAGTTCCATCCACATAGTTGCAAATGGCAAGATTTCATTCTTTTTGATTGCCGAGTAATACTCCATTGTATGTGTGTGTGTGTGTGTATATATATACACCCCATCTTCTTTATCCATTCATCCATTGATGGACATTTGGTCTCTTTACACACTTTGACTATTGTTGTGCTGCTATAAACATTTATAGTGCTGCTATAAACATTGGGGTTCATGTGTCCCTTTGAAACAGCACACCTGTATCCTTTGGATAAATACTAGTAGTGCAATTTCTGGGTCATAGGGTAGTTCTATTTTTAATTTTTGAGGAACCTCCATACTGTTTTCCAGAGCAGCTGCACCAGCTTGCATTCCCAAGTATTATGATTTTTTAAAATTGAAACATGGACATTTAATATGATATGACACTATGGATCTTCTTTAAACCTACTATTATAATTGGCTTCCTCTGATACCACCTGGTAGAGAATGGGGTGCCACTGCCTCATCATTGTCAAGTGTAGGTAGAAATCCAGATTCCCCATTCAGTCTCCATTGGTGCCCAATGGGGTATTCCTGGATAATGCTGTATGGTAGGAGTTCTGGTTCCCACATGGTGTCCACAGAGAAAACTCTGGGGTGGCCTTGTTAACAGTAAGAAATGGTGAAAGTCCAAGCTCTTCACTGGCATCCTCTGATACTACCCAAGCAGGGAGGGGAAGGAGTGCCTTGTTGCTTCCTACTAGGGTTGGAAGTTCATGTTTCCCACATGATCCCCACTGATACCACCTGGGCTTCATTACTAGCTTGTGGGAAAGAAAGTCCTGGATCAATGCTTGGTCTTTTCTTACAACAGTCCAGCAGGAGTGTTGCAGTACTTCAGAATAGCTTTCGGAGGGTTGAAGTCAAGGTTCCTCACTTGGACTACGTTGGCATAGTTGGGGGTGGAGCCATAAGTTTTTCTAGGGTGTTTAGCTGGAGTAGAGTGGTTATTGTCTGTCTTGGTAGGCTTCTATACTGTTATTTTGGCAGGTGAGAGCAGGCATATAGTGAGGCTTTTTTTTTTTTTTTTTTTTTTTTTTTTTTTTTTTTTT